AATGTCAGTCATTAAATAATTCATATTTGTATGATACTTTAACGGATCCGTTCCCGGTTCTACATTGTATTCTAGGAACCTAACCAGAATCGCTTTTTTCTCACTTCTACTGATCGGAACCGCGGTTCCGGATACTTTTTGGAACCGCCGTACTCTATCGATAAGGGTCTTCATCATCCCTTTCCAATGGTGAAAATCGCAGTTCTCTATCTTGTTCCTATTGAAAGCTATTCATAAGAATACGTACCTAGCTTTTATTTTGAAATTAGTAGTTCAATATAACAAATAGAAGATAAATCAGAATTTATAAATAAACATTTTTTATTCTAGTCAATTTCATTATCATCATTAAATCTTACAATATATATTCAAAATTTAAATGATAATCCACCGAAATTTTTAATACAAAATTTTACAACGCTTTATTATTTTTTTTATCCAACTATCAATACAATTCTTTATAGAATTCATGTTATTGATAAAGATGAATCAATTTTAACCTATGAAATTATAAATGATACTTCATTAACTTATAGACTTCGTACGTCTTCAAATTCAAGTGAATTAATTCTTATGAAATCGGTTAATAATAATCATGAAGATAATTTGATTATCCGTGTTTGGGATAGTAAAATATTCTTTTCAGATTTATATCTTCGTATTATTTATTTTCAATATCAAAATCCATATCCAAAACTTCTCGTACAAACAATTGATGGTTATGTTAATTTTCAAGAAAATTCTTCTGCAATTAAATTAGGTCAATTATCTCTACATAATCAATCTCAATACTCCTATACTTATTTTCAATTAATATCACATAAACATTTTTTCCTCAAATATGTATCAAATAATCAAACTGAACTCTATTTCAAACCTTCTCATCAATCATCTCTTGTTAATTTTCAAATTCATATAATACCTATTACTCTATCAAAACCCATACCGGAAATACTTTTTCATAATAGAACAAAAGTGTTTTTTCCATCAACAATAAAACCTCAAACAATTAATATTCATCTATGGTCTATTACGAATGAAATGTTAAATCGAACAATATCATTAATCATAAATATAAATCCTAATACAACCTATGAACAATTTATTATTCATAATTTACCATTAATACGTCAAAATTTAGCTCAAATTATAGGTGTACATACACATCATGTTCATATCTATACATTTGATTTAAAACATAATCAAATTGAATTGCTTATTGCTGTCGCACGTTCAATATCAATCCGATATATACATAAAAAATTTCTTTATAATCTATTAAAAAATTCAACGAATATTTTTGAAAAAATTCTTTACAATCAATGTCAATCAAATCCATGTGAACATGATGGATATTGTATTAATTATATTAATTTATTAAATAATCAATATGAATATTTGTATTACAATACATATGAACGTTTAATACCAAAATATAAAAGAAATATAAAATGTTTATGTAAAAATAATTACTATGGAGAATATTGTCAATTTAAAGAAAATAAACAATCACCATGTTCATCAAATCCTTGTTTACCAATGGAAAGATGTATTGAATCAAATTCAACATTTTATACATGTCAATGTATGGATGAATTATGTAATTATGATGATATTGCTATAGAAAATTCATATGAATGTATTAATACTAATTCACCAACATGTCGAGGTAAACTAAAGAAATTTTCTCCTATTCCAGTCTCTGAAAAATAAGAGCGTGGGTAGATGTAGTCGAAGGTATTGTTATCATTTTGCATCTACGCGCACATGCAAACCCACACCCATCGACACCCACACCCTCACCTATATTTAGACATGACCAAACACAAACTCATATTCAACCCGTTTGGGAGTTTGGGTTTGATTTAATGAATTTGAGCTTGGTTTTGGGTTTGGGTTTGGGTTTGGGTTTGGGTTTGAGTGTAGTACCAAAACCACCAAACA